AAAGAGAGAGAGAGAGAGAGAGAGAGAGAGAGAGAGAGAGAGAGAGAAAGAGAGATGGGAGGCAGAGGGATGGGACTGGATTGAGTGATTATATCTTCGCGTAATTAAATCCCACGCAGCTTTTCCTCTTCCAAGAAAAACAGCCACGTTCTCTTGCATTGCAGCATAAAAAACTATTTGCCCAACGTGAATGATCAGTGTAAGCGCTGATGCATGCGTAATCGTCCCAAAACTAGGAACGTTGACAAATAGTGAATTCGCCCCCAAGGTTTTAATAATTATAATTGAGGATATTGAGTTTCTCCATCATTACACTATGCATATACGTCGAACCTGCACGATGCCTCAAAATACACAGATTTTAAAAATCTACTCGCGTAGACGTAAAACCTGAGTAAACGCTTAACTAACGTGCGCGCACGCGCACACACACACACCACACGCACGCACGCACACACTTCCTCTCCCTGTGTCTCTCTCTACACACATATATATATATATGTACATAGAGTAGAGCATACATATGGTTATTTTCCATCGTGTGAACGCGGCTATAGAATATACTTCAATGTTCATGGACTCAGTTAAAGTTCGTTGATAAGACACGACTACGATTGTTACAACAACTGAGGGAAACAGGGAAGGCTACGACTGCTAACTCTGCTCTCTCTCTCGCGCGCGCGCGCTCTCTCTCTTTTTCTCGCTCTCTCTTTCTTTCTCCCTCTTTCTCCCTTCCTCTTTCTCTGTCTTCCACCTCTCTCTCGTAACGCACCTGTTACGGCAAAGCGAGACATATCTCCCGGCAAGCAGATAGCAGATTTGTCCGTTCCACACACACGCGAGATCAACGCACGGTGCTCCCGAGTCCACATCGGTGAGCTACAGCTCGGCGGAGACGCACGACTGTTTCTTCTACGGGAGTCGGCTGTGAGGAGAGGTTGCGGCCTCGATAGATCTGTACCGCTACCTGAATACACCTGCTTACGCTCTGCTCGCTGAGGCGCGCACACGCACAAGAGCGCGTAACATCGGTAGCACCGTTTCCCGCGTGCTGCTGGTAGTGGTACGCAGCACTGCGCAGTGAAGGGTTCGTGAAGTTGCTTTGTTGCTGGCGTGAGACAGAGCAGTGACGTGGTCTTGACTGTGACTGGATAGAGGAATAGAGGCTGGCAGCAGGAGAGTTGTGTGTTACTGACTGTGACTGGATAGAGGAGTAGAGGCAGGCAGTAGGAGAGTTGTGTGGTACTGACTGTGACAGGATAGAGGAGTAGATCCTGGCAGCAGGCGAGTTGTGTGGGACTGACTGTGACAGGGTAAAGGGACGGAGGCAGGCAGTAGGAGAGTTCTAGCGTGACTGGATAGAAGACGTGGGATTGGAGAGTGTTGGTGTCCTGGCGGTGACTGGTCGATCGGTGGATGTCAGGCAGAAGCTCCTGGTGTTTCTGACTGTGAGTGGGGTCGTAGTGGCACCCGGGAGAGGACTGCATGCCCTCGCATGCCCCCTTCGCTGTGCTAGTGTCAAACCTGTCTTCACAGCTATGAGAGAGTCTAGTGTGTTTTGTTAGGCTGGCTGCTAGCGACTTCTGATTGTCTTGACAGCTCGTGAGGAGTGCAAGATCTAGCAACTGTGACTAGCTTGGATACTTCTTAGACTTCTTTAGATTTTCTTAAGGTGGAACGGCGGCTGTTCGATAGCATTCGCAGAGTGTGACGTGAAACGTGAGACACCGTTCACAGCTTTTATAGAGCGTCGTGATACCTTGCAACTTTGGTACGCGAACGGCATCTGAATTTGAGCCTTCACATATCGACTGTGGAGTAGAACGTTGGATAGCATTGAAGCTTTCAAATACTACAAGGTGGAACTGTGGATATTGGCAACTTCTGACAGTCTTGGTAGCTTTTGTGTAGTCTTCAACACTCCTGGAGAGCGTAAGGCGGGACGTTGGATAGTGTTCCCAACTCTTGGAGGCTGAGAGACTAGTTGGATGTTGTAGTCGTTTCTCGGCCGGTCCGGCGTCGGATGAGTTTACATATTCCACAGCGCGAGGTGCTCTCAAGCTATTATGACTGCGCGGACAGGGAGAGAAAGGGGGAGGAGGGAGGTAGAGCGAGCACAGAACTAGTTCTCCGGCAGTGAGAGAGAGAGAGAGAGAGAGAGAGAGAGATGGTGGTTCTTCACGCTCGGCTAACTTCACTCTCTGCAGGAGAGAAAGGGGAGAGGCTGGAGGAGGGGAAGGGGCTGGAGGAGGCTGGATGAGGGGGAGGGGGCTGCAGGAGGGGGAGGAGGCTACAGGAGGGGGAGGGGGCTGCAGGAGTGGGAGGGGCTGGCGGAGGGGGAGGGGGCGTCATCAGCATCAGCTCTCTCGCGTAAGTCGTGCCGATACAGCAGGAGAGATGCGACACGCACGCCCGCACACGCACACACGCACACACGCACACACACACACACACCCACGTGCGTGCGGTGCATGCGTAACGCACACGCACGCTCGCTCGGTTGTAAAACAACAACGGCGTAACCCCCGGGCGAAACAGAGTAGCGTTTTTAAAGAGATTTGCGTGGAATAATTTCAGGGGGTAGATGCGTGTGTGTGAGAGGGGTAGCGGAAGGAGGGCTTGGCGTGGCGTACGTGTCAGGGACGGTGGCGTTCAAGTCGATATTTATGGTTATTTATTGAAGCCGAGATGTTTCTTTAGAGCACGTAAATAAAACGAGCCGCCGACGTCAGTGGGAAACATTAACAGCGCAATCGACGGTAACTCGATCTCTCCGTAACTCGTATTTTTTTACCTACGTTATAAATGCCAAGATTGAACCATCCACGAGTTTTCACTGCGGTCATTTCTATTTCATTTCAATTTAACTCCCTCCCCCCGCCGCTCCTACCCCCCTAGACGCCATGCTGGATGAAAACGAGAGCCTTTCCTCGGGCGGAGAAGAAATTACGCAAATCCTGCACCGGTTTTTTCACCTCGCCCTCTACACCACGGCCACTAAATTATTTATGAAGAGAACAGAGCACCACCAGCTAATGCTGATCACACACACACACCCACCTAGCTACATTATTTATAACTCGGATATGCTAGCGCAGTGCACAACGGTAGCTCGCATAGCCGTGCGCGCCCTAACAAGATTGTGGTTAGCTCAGGGGTGGGCAAACTGCGGCCCGCGGGCCGCATGCGGCCTTCTACGGGGTTCTGTGCGGCCCGCGGAAGCCTGCAGCAAATAAAAAAAATAAAAAAAAAATTTTATTTTTTTAAATCAATAAATTTTTGTGAAAGTCAACATGTTTGTGCTTGAACCGAGGCTGACTTTTTCAGTGTCATACAGATTAGTGTTCTATTGTCCCTGGTTCGCTCTGCAACGCCATTTCAGCTAATTATGCGGGTCCAGAAATGGCGCCCTCGAAGCGAAACGCACGTATTATCTTAGAGCGCACCGCCCGATTTTAAAAGGTGCGGCCCTTTGACTTTTCATGGCCCACTGATGCGGCCCTCGCTTTGAAAAGTTTGCCCACCCCTGACCGCTAGCTGCTACAGATAAATGGAAGTGCAGTTGTCAATAGCAGCTCCAGATCTGAACGTGCAGCACTTCACTGTTAGCATGGTGAGCGAAAAACTACACGGGTGAGAAGGTAGCTTTTATCCAGCCCTGTGAGGGAGTGAAGGGTTGAAAGAGTGGAGCTACTGTTGCAGCTGCATGCGTGCGTTCACATCAGGAGTAGATAATAGGGAATTATCTATTCCTTATTATCTACTCCTGGTTCACATGTATCCGCAACAGGAACCAACAATCGTAACAGTAGAGTGAAGAGCTGGCTGGCTGCACGGGTAGAGATAGCCCCCACACCAACAACGTGACGAAGTGAAGGGCTGCACGGATAGAGATAGCCCCCACACCAACAACGTGACGAAGTGAAGGGCTGCACGGAT